TGCGTGTGTGTGTGTGTCAGGTGTATCCATGACTCTCTGGCCTCTCTAGGCCTCTAAGGAATGATTTTCTCTACGATTTTCATCCATTGACAATTCAAGAGAGCGCCTTGGAATGAATGGACACATAAAATATACTCTCAGTCAAAATATAATATTTTCATGACAGCTGCATCCTGTACGATTCTCTCGTTTCATGGCACTTACTGACCGATCGGATGTACATAGTGCCGCGACATGATGAGGTGTATTATGAGCATAGAGCTTTTTTGGCGCATGTAAAAATTCATTATTCACTCTGACTTTATGACTTATGAAGTGAGTTTTGTCGAAAAGGGGTGTTCCCGGGCCCCAAACTACCAAGAGGGCTAGCCGGACCTGTTGGATATATGATTAGTTGTCCTGGACCTGAAGTACCTGTCCTGTATCATCATTCATCTGCCACCTGTATGTACCAGGCCCACCGCCCAGCTAGTAGTTTTTTTCTACATATTTTAATAGATTATTTTTACAAAATGACTATGTACAAATGCAATAATCTGTCAATAGGAGTGTGGTAAACGAAATGTATTGGCAGTTTGGCAGTGTGGCACCTGACCGCCAACAACTTTTTCAAAATCGTCCAAAACCCGGACGGACAGCTTTGGAATGCAACCTCTAATAAATACCCAATAATCGCGTTTTGGAGGATTCCGATATAGTGATAGACCCCGAAGTATAGAACTGTTCTACTTGTCGTACCGCCACCATGTGGCTTCTTCGACCTTGAAAACTTAATCTTGAAATATGCCAAACAATATTAGGATTAAATAGAAATCCAGATTCAGAAAATCTGGAACGCTTGTAACTTTCGGCCCGATTTAATCCCCTTGGTAAATGGATGGCGTCAGCCGGTCAAGAGACTCAGGTCCCGCCGTCCCCGTGTTAAAATTTATTATTTATTTAACCACGCCTGATATCGGTTTATTCTATATAAAAAGTCATAAAAAAGCATCCTCATCAAAAACACGATCTTCGGTCTGGCGACATCATTTCATAAATTCAAATATTGAAATTGCATATTTAAAAATAGCGGGGTTTTGGGGGGGGGGGTTTTAAATTAAAAACCATCTCCCTCACATACACACACACACACACTCTCTCTCTCTCTCTCACTCACTCACTCACTCACTCACTCACTCACTCACTCACTCACTCACTCACTCACTCACTCACTCACTCTCTTTCTTTCTTTCTTTCTTTCTTTCTTTCTTAGACACATTTTTAGTATGTATGAGGAATATGCAACATTGATGCCAAGCGCCAGCCGCCAAAGCCTTTTTCAATTCAAAATAGGACAGGAGGTGTGAGACTGTGAGGTCTGTATGTAGTATGTACAGTTGTACATACTAAAAATATGTATTTGAATTGATAACACCCCCATCCATAGACTAAGGCTCGATTTTAAAGAACCAACCCTAATTCACTATATCCGGTTTTGGATATGATCCCAATTTTATTTTCTAGACTTTTTCTAAAAACATTTCAAAAGAAATTTGCGAAGGAGCCAAGTTGATAGCTCTCCTGGTTCGTACAGTTATGTATCGATTTATAATCAGGATGTGCACTTTTCGACCATGTCAAATCTTGGATTTCCAGGTCGCGTATTAGCAGTTTGAACCTTCTAAGGGTTCTAATATATAATAAATACAAGTATTATTAGTTCAGAAATCATCTTTGTGGTATAGAAGGCTTATTATGCTTGCTCAAAATCACCATTTACGTGCATGCGTGTCCATCAATGACATCCATTTGGTGTGCATATTCAATTATATGTCTTCAATGTGATTTTCAGACCTTAGTTATATCTATATAAGCATAATTAAACCATAATATTGTTATTGTAATCCTTTGTAGATGAATAAGTAGTGAATTTTGGCAAAAAGTTCAGGAAACGAGATTCATCGTGCAATCGATGGCATGGCACGTTAAATGACGTAAACACACTTTTTCTCGATTTTAGCAGCTGTAGCTTGCATTACGGTTATAAGAATGCATATACGATATTGTTTTGACAACAATTGTACGTGACAACTTTGAAACTTTACTAATTATGCATATTTAGACCCAATAATCGCGTTTTGGAGGTTTCGGATGCAGTGTTAGACTCCGAAGTATATTTGGTGTTCTACTTGTCCTACGACCTTGGCGCCTTCACAGATCATTTACGAAATACTTAATTTTGAAATATGCTAAAAAAAAATAAAATCAGGAACGCTTCTTTATTTTTGGCCCTATTTTATCCCCTTAGTACATGGATGGGGGGTTAAAAATAAATATATATGATTGTACGCGCGCGACGGCGTGAGAGTTGAGCCAGTGTGACCGTGACGGCACTCACGGCAGATGTGACCTCATCACCTCACCTGCCATAAACCCTAAAGACAATAAAAACAACTGATCTCCGAGACTCAAACAGCTTCACTATTCTTAGTGTGTTCTCCAGAGACCAGAGAGTGTTCACAAATCATCTTTTTTATTTTTATTTTAAATACGCCTCTACGCGAAAGAGCCTCTGTTGGTGGGGAGCTGGCAGCCTAGCTTGAACTCATTTAAGCCAATAGAAAGTCTGAATAATAATCGAGAATTGATTTCTCTCTATCTCTCTCATTTTTTTGAGAGTCGAAGACTCGAAGGAGTACAATATTTTTTTTTAAATATATGGGTTTTAATAATTTGTTTTTATTTACAAAACCAAAACAACAAAAATTGTGGGATGTATTTATGGTGGGATTTGGTGGCAAGTTTTAGACGTATTTAGTACCAAAGTGGGACTGCAGTACTGTAATAAGGCACTGTCACTGGCATATGTACTGTCTAAATACTGACTACTGAGTATGTATTGACTATTCACTTTAAAAAATAGTACTGAGTAGTGAGTACATAGTACATACTGTACTATGTATTTGTGCTTTTTTGTTTTTCTTGTTTTTTTAAACATAATAGTTGGTTTTTGTTCAATTTTCAGAAGAAGGCGATGGTTTGCTGGCATAGAAAATTGAATATGTAAATAGATGTATATTTAAAAAATAGTTGACCAGCCAGTTACCAGTTGTACTGCTCCCTGCTCAGGCTGCTGGACAGGGTATTTGACTATTTGGTTTGACGGACTGTGAAACTAAACAGAGTACCAACTACCGCAAGTACAAGTAGCGTATGTTGCGCGATTAGTATAAAATATATACTTGCGCTGATTCTAGATTATTGGTGCTCGCTTGATACAAAATGTATATTTTCTGGATTTCGGAAAGATCTCAAACTGTGAGAGGTTTGATTGATCAATAAGATCTGTATCTACCAATTTATTCGGAGAACGTTTACCATTGGTCAAGCATTTTGATTGCGAGGGTGATGTTTAAGGAAGCCCGGGTATTAGTCCCTGATTTGGACTCGCTGGGTAAATGTGATACGGGGTGTCTATTTATTGGCAAGTAGGACATAGCTGGGCCAGTAACGATTTTTTTTTTAACGAACGTCAGCTTGGGGCCTTTTAGACAACCCAGCGGATTGCCGGATTCTTTTTATCGAATATCAACTATCACAAGACGGCATCCATCGTTGCTAATCAGTGCACAAATGCCCTTCTCGTACACACGAGACCTGTTTCATAGATAATTTCGCTGGTTCATACATGGGAGAGTAAGTGATTGTGTGCAGAGGTTCGAGAGGCTCGAGAGGTGCAGAATATATACATATATTTGCCGCTGCTATACAAGTAGCAAAATCATATACTCGCCACAATGCCTTCCACTAAACCAACGAAGGGCTCTGGATCGCCCACGAAACAGAAGCCTCAGCCAAAACAAAGTAAAAAATTAACACAAGCTCAAGCTCAGGCTCAAGCTCAAAGTAGACCCAAAACAGTGCTCATCAGCAAAGGCCCTGTTCAGCGACAAGGTAGTGGTTCTGGAGTGGTTACTGGTGGATCAGTGACGCATACGAGGAATGCGACTATACAACCGAGCCCACACGCACGCGCGCTACAACACGCACATATACAGCCACAACAACATCAGAAGTACAATCAGCATAACATTTCACAGCATCCCTTAGGGATACCTATGCAGATGCCGCCCACAATATCACCTGGCAACCGCCCGCGCCAACCGCTTCCACAAACAGTAAGTTTCTTGTTGTTACGTGGCTGATTAATATGCTGCAATATCACATGTTAATTAATATTTTCCTATACTAATGTATACTAATTGATGAATCACTACACCAATCGCAACAGAAAGAGTTTTTAATCGTATGGTCTTTACGACTATCGATACGTACAATTTTGCTTTTTTTCTTTCTCTTTACGTATAAAAACGACTGATGGATATATGTATCATACTTTATCAGTTCATATTTTGAACTGGACACAAATTTGCACTTTCGTTTATCATATATATATATATATATATATATATATAGTATATATATATATATATATATATATATATATATATA